TGTTAGTCTGTCAGGTCTGGACTATCCAGGTACCAAACATGTTTAAGGAGAAAAGGGAAAAAGGGAAAGAAAGGAAGGAAGGAATAGAGCAAAGAAGTGAAGTAAATCATTTGAAATAGCTTAAGCATTATTGCTTTGACTACTCGAATAATTTTGTTACCCAAAAAAATAATTTTGATCGGTTTTGTATACTGAAATGAAATAGTTTTAGCTGGTCTGAATTCACAATTTAATTTTGATCGCAGTGCGAGGCGCGGTGTTGAATGTTTGCGAACTTGCTCGACTGGATGGTCTACTGAATCAGAGGGTTGCTGTGCGATTCGGCTTGACTATAACGCCGTTGTGCCTGTTGTTTTACATAATCATTTAGATATGGGATATCAAGATCTCATTTGACACGTACCAAGTGGCGTTAGTGATTGTGCGTAGGATTCTGTTTTGCAGGACTTGCAGTCTCCGCATGTGCGTCTTGGCACGAAAACACCAAGCCGCGCATGCGTTGGTGATTGCGGATCTTATAACCATTTTGTATAACCGAATCTTGTTGATCAAACTTAATTTTGAATTACTGCACAACAAAGGATAAAGCTGCCGAAAGGTAATTTGGAATTTTGTTTCTACCAGGTCAACCCCTTGTCAATGATGAGTCCAAGGTACCTGACAGATTGGTTCCATGGTATACGAGTTCCATTCACTGATATCTCTGAGGGGGCACCGCGACGTTTTTTAGTACAATAGATTGCCTGCGTTTTCGAAGTAGTAATTGTGATCAACCACCGATCCGCCTACTCTAATACTTCCTCCACCGCACTCTGCAGCCTGTCGTGAACCAGGTTACCAGAACAAGACTGAGCTAGCAGTGCAGTGTCATCAGCATAGAGATAGACTTCACAGTTGCTGGGGCAAGGGACGACATATATATAAAGTGAATAACGGATTGGTCCTAAGACCGAACCCTGAGGAACTCCGGCCGTGTTATTGACAACACATTTTTAATTTTGATCCAAAACTTCCTTCCTTCTGGAAAAAAGTTCAACATTTTTAGAAGCCAAAATGGAAAACCGTTTTGGATGAGCTTATATAAGAGGCCGATGTGCCACACCTTGTCAAATGCTTTTGATACATCTAAAAGCAAGATACCAGTACTTTTATTCAGGGTGAATCCCCTGGTTACATGCTCCACCAGTCTAACTGCCTGTAGCTCCGTACTATGCTCAGACCGAAAGCCAAATTGCACGTCAGGAATCACATGGTGATCTGACGACAAATTCTCAAGGTGACGATAAATCACCTTTTCAGCGAGCTTAGAAGGAGCTAACAGCAGGCTAATGGGACGGTAATCCTCGGGGAATATCAAACCTGTCTTCTTTGGGATCATGATGACTTCAGCGATCTTTAGGACGCTTTAGGAAAGTAATGAGTTCTGAGCATTGCATTGATTATTGCCACCAGATAAGTGCTTTGTTGGTGATTTGATCCTCTCCAGGTGCTTTACGCACCCCTAGGTCCTTAATGTGGCCTTGAAGCTCTGCTGGTGTGCAAAACGGAATCTCAGATGATTCCGTTAATATGCTATGCTGAGATTCATCTGAACAGCATTCCGTGGAATAATCTTCTGAAAAGGATTCACCGATGTTAGCACTGACGCTGCTGTCGCCATTCGCTCTGAAATCTCTCCTGACAGATCTTACAATTTGTCGTTCCTCGTAAAGGTCATTGTCCAGATCATAATTGGGAGAGAACTGCCTTTCCGTGACGTCAGCAAAAACCTCCACTTTATCCTCAGTCCTGAAAACTATGTCTCCAGGACCATGAATATGTGGTAGTTGTTCTTGCCTTCCGTTTCTGAGAGATTTTGCCACTTTCCAGATACTTGATTCAAGCATCGCCGCCAGAAATTCGCTCCACTACTCATTACGGAATTCATAGAGTGCATTTCTCACTTCATGGACGAGATTCGTCGCTCTACGAATGTCATCAGGATGACAAGACCTCTTTGCTTGCTTGATCGCATCCCTCTTTTCAGAAATTTTCCGGCGGATGTCAGCAGGGAGAATTGTCTTGTCTTCCTTAAAACAATAAAGCCACTACCATTGCCAAGTCAAAGGTCTATGTCAACAAGCCCACAACCACCGGTACATCACAAGAGGAAATTGAAAGGTGCATCCACGGAATTCAGCCACCATTACGCCAATTTCGACAAAAGAGTGCGTACGTGCCAGCAAAGCAGTGGAGGTCATTTTCCCGATGTGATATTCCTTACATAACCCTACCCTACGTACTTGGTTCAATAAAAAATAACAATCTAAAACCTTAAAGCTCTATTCTATTTGATTCAAAACTTGCGTTAATTTTGGAACACTCTTTATAAACAATCGGTAACCAAACTATTGAGACATCTAGACTAATTAATCAGGATGGAGTAATTGACCGGCTTTCGATATGATTTAGGGACGATGCGACTGCCGGAAGATCAATCAGAGCGAGCAGGACGAGGCGATGGCGGGATATTTTAATTAATTAAACGACAGATGGGACCAGGGCCACCCGAATACCAACTATCGACGGATTAACGAATATCGTCACAGCATGATTAAGATACAGATGATACCAGCGTTTTGGGATACTGAGGTTAGTTATCTTGAGGCAGGGCTGAAAACCGGTCTTGCGAAGTCTGGAGAGCCTAGTGGCAATTCCCTAAGTAGGAGCAACTTAGATCTGCCCAAGGAACTTTTACCCAATCATCAAAGACCAAAGTCTGTTTTTTAGTTGTAAGTTTACTTCCATATGACAAACTAACCTCTCTTACTGCCGTTATCGGTAAATAGTCTCTCTCTTGTTTTGTGCATTTTGTGACGTTGGTCATCATCTGTATCATACGTGACAACTCGTATTACTATCAAGAAGATCCGCTTAAAATTGCAGTTTAACTGCAGCTTCCTAACTAACTCGTACATCAGAGTCTGACAAGATGAAGCAATTGACCAGGCTGTCTTAGAAGCGTATTATATTGAGTTGATTGTTGTACGTAAAAGGCAATTAGAGTCTTTGATACACTTACAGAGATTTTCACTGCTATGAAACTCGCAAGGGGAGATAATATTCGCCTCAATAGCCATCGCATTGATAGAACTAGAAACGGTATTAAATTTTTTAACGTGTTGTCAAATCGCTGAGTATCTAAGCTTTCCACAAAAAACGCAAAGACTACCTATAAAACAAAATATTTTTCTGTATTGATTAGATTGATGATTATTTGACAAATAACCTTAGTAACACGTTTTGTAAATGTTCGTATTATTTTTTATTTTTATTTTAGTCGCTCCCGTGTTTCTGCATGTGTTAGTATTTTAGTCGCTCCCGTGTTTCTGCATGTGTTAGTGTTCATATTTATCTTACTGTATCTCATTTTTCCGCTTGTGTGTTTATATTTTGTTATATTCTCCCGAATTTGCGGCTGTATCAGTGTACTTATTTATTTAACTGTTTTTTACTTTTGCGCTTTATCTGTATGTCTGTATGTGCTATTGTTTATTACTCTTGAATCTTAATTGTTTTTAAATGCCCTCAAGGCACACATGTCCTTTCAACATGTACTCTTTTGACGTGTGTAAAGTCATTTGTGTAGTAACCAATAAATTATTATTATTATCATTGAACTGAATCAAATTCTGGTGACACAGCTAGGGTTTTCCTGCAGAAGTGGAGTTTGGACTCCTAAATCGGATATAGAGGCCCCTAAGAATGTGGGATGAGGGTATGGGTTATGCGGATGGTCAGCCATAGGAGAATATGGATATCAGCAGTCAGTGTGACAAAGCTTGAGATCTGACTTCGTTCAGGTTTTTATAAGGACAGATCCCAGAGCATCTCCGAGCTATTAATAGCCATTCGCAATATATGGCTCTGAAAACACAAGAATCTTTTGCACAGAACTCTAAGGATAGTTTCTTGTAACTAGAGTCCAAATAAGAGAGAGGTCATACAAGCGCCTGGTGGAAGCATGATTGACCGTCGCTATGCAAAGAAACTCCTAACGATCAACGAAATAATAATAACTACCAATATATTTGTTTTTTAAAAAACTACAATATGCATGATACTCGTCTGCTTCTCCATCGGGGTACGTCTTTTCATCGGTCTCTCATTATTTTGTTAGCGCCAAGTACCTGACACTTGACAGAAAATATCTCCATATATTTATGTGAGTGTCTGATACGTAAAGCAATTAGCGCCAAACCTGCCCTGCCCGTATGGTGTAGAGTCTCCTTAGTCTCCAAGACCGAAAAACACTGCCTCCAATACGTGTGGTTTGTAGCAGGGCATTGTGTCTTCCTCTCCTTTGATAGGTAAACTGCTGAAGGGCTTTGTGGTTAGGTGTCTCCCACTGATGCTCTCTGTAACCCCTCCAACATATTCTGACAGAAAAAATCAAACAATTTTTGTATACACGTGTCTTAAGGTTAGGTCAGTAATTGGTCGAAATTTCAGAAAAATGCAAGTGTTGGAAAAATGCAAAAAATTAATAATTTGTTGGACCTCTGGGCATACTTCTAATCAGATCATTGATTTTCGCTTGAGGTATCTCATCCTATATCACTGAAACCATAGCAACAAGGCAACGAAACATTGGAACACCTCCTTTATTTTGCATCTACGTACTCAGCACCAACTTGTCATAGTGAATCGCCCTGCACACATCTAACAGCCACGCGATCCGCTTGTAGCTAGACTACAGGAACTATCTTCGCATCTGCTTAAAAAATTTTTTTATTGTTTTTTTGGCATAATCTCTTTGAAAAAGGTCCCTTTTAATGAATCTACACGTCGACAAACCTAAAATTGCGCCAAAAATAATGTTCCCTTCTGTATCAAGGTTGTGCAAAAAACCTAATCAGAATATATTTCCGAGCAGATGCGAATATATCTCCTGTACTATTACCGCAGGTAATGAATGGGAGATCGCATCCAAATTACAGATATATAGATATAGTACTTACTCGTAGTATACAGAGGTATCTTCTCAGCCACCGCGGCATAATATGTTTTTTCGACAGAGTCGCTTGTCCTTCGGTAACTCATCTTCTTTCCAATTCACGTAAATCTGATCTGCGAAACTAATCATGGAATGTATTGCTATTGCGGTATATAAGCCTAGCTCTGGCTATTGTAAATCGACAACGCGACATCAGCTATAATTGCACTTGTGCTAGCCGTTCAAAGAATGCTCTTACAGTCTGCTCCACTTTGTACATCCAAGCTCACCAACATCATTACTCTTCCCTCTCCCCTTTCCCGCAAGGTCCATTTTCAGCACAAATGCTCCACCACTGGTAAATTATTCAGCCGGCGTATGTTACACATTACGCTCCCATATGCTAATACCATGCAGGAATGTTAAGTAAAAAATTCCAGTCTCGAAATGGTTCGGCAATAAGAATATTTACAAGCCATGTCGGAATTCCTGCGTCCCCTTACAGTGTGCTGTTGCTGTCGTGATTACTACGAGGTAGATGAATACTGCCGGATTCTCTGATATTGTACACGTTTGCAAGCCCCGGCAAAAATGTAGTCGTCTGGTTTAATAAGCTCCGTAACGAGAAAGTTTGGTCCACTTTGCAGAAAGGAAAGTCTGGTTGACATGAACAGAATCATCACCTGCGCTGTAGGGGATAAGATAGATTCTATGGAGATGTTTTCACTGTTCCGAAAAATTATAGTTATCACTTTGTAACAGTAATTGGAAATGAAAAGCAATAAGTTCTCAATAAGATCGCTCTAACAGGTATAAACGAGGAGCATCTTTTTTCGAAACGGAAATGTTCCAGCCAAACGTTGTTTGTTCTGCTTCAGATTATTTTAGGGTTTTTGGATCATTCTAAACGAATAACGTCCGTATTAACCGTTCTCTAAAGTTTATAGTTTTTTGACTCAAGTCTTATAAACTCTAGCGGTCGCAAGAGTGTTACGTATCTTGAAAAGTGACATTAGTGCGTTTTTTTATATTGTTTTCTGGTTGTGTAGATCTTGCTTAAACGTCATGATGCTTCAGTTATCAATGAGAGGTATGAATAAAAACGAAGTAGATGCTTATACTACAATTTTAAGAATCTACTTCAAAGTAAATACTTCGCCATGAAGTATCCAATCGGTTTCGGTAGTATTTGCTTTACGTCGAAGTACTTACTATCGTGCCTGTAGTATCTACTTTTATTCCGAAGTAAATGCTTTAAATTGAGTAGCATCTTCTCATTTCCACAAGTTTCGACAGGTCACACTTGTTGTTTTATTTTATTTGAAATATTCACATACTTGGTATTGTACGGCACGCGCGTTAAAATGTCTTCCGACGAGGAAATGCCAAATCAAGAAGAGTCCCAAAATGAAGATTTGCAGTTAGCCTTTGTTACGATGTCAGAAGACTACAAAATTATTCTGGATAAAAAAATTACACCTCCCGTTAAGTCTGCCAAAGACAAAGCACTTAAAGAATTCACAGAGACGTATAACAGAAATACAAAACAAAATTTAGATGCAAAACAGGTATTAAAAAAAGTTAATAATATGAAAAGTAAAATTAAAAATATTACCGATATGAAGAAAACAGGAAATAGGAAAATTAAGTTAAATGAGTGGCAAAAAAAATTTTTCAACCTATGGAATGGGAGTGAGAATCCAGTAATTCAACAAGTGCCAGGTACTGTATTATTTGATATTATATATTTTTTCTTCAAACGTCAGTAAATCATTTATTGCTTGACTTGTATGCGGCCACGAAGTTTTATTTTTCATCAGCCGGAGCTTCACTTTTTACTTTTCCGCGATTAATTTCTTGACATTTGAAGAAAAACAGCATATTTTACTTGGAGGAAAAGTTAATTTTCATGGCTGTCTAATTCAGGCTCGTCATAAAATCACTTTTCCTCCATATAAAATCATAATACTATTGTGGTGCAAAATTTTTAATTTAATAATGTTTTAGGAGGTGTAACTGCGGGCACCAGTCAAGACGTTGATATATCATTGACCGATGAAGAGAATCAAATACCTTTTTGTGATGATAAAGAATTAATGGCTAAATTACGAAAGAAATTACTACTTCAACAAATCAACACTGCCGCAGCTCAAGAAAAAGCTGCTATAGCTCAAGAAAAGGCCGCTCTAGCTGTCGAAAGGGCCGCAGGAGCTGTAGAGCAATTCGTAGAAGATTACCTTGCACGACAACAGGCAAGCTTTTGAATTCATTTGGATTCAAAAGTACCTACTGATTAATATGTTTTTTTTTTGTTAAAAGAGAAATAAGGTTTATGTTTATTATTTGTATAACATGTTTATTAGGTTTAATTATTTTGTCAGAACCTTCATAAAATAAATATGTATAAAATCCAAACAATACAAATATTTATTTACTTTTTCAACGCTGTCTGTACATTAGTGTTGCAATTTCATTTCTAAACTGGATACCTCGGCGTCGGACTTCACCGTTGTTTGGTTCGGCATATAATTCAGGCATAACTGCTTCTTCTTCTATGTTCATTTCATCAAAATGTTCATCTGGATCGTTCAAAAACTTTGCACAATTATGTAAAATAAATGTACACATAATATATCGACATGTTCTATCTGTTTTAAGTCGGATTGTATAATTCAACATAGGAAATCTTGTTTTTAACTGGCCAAAGCATCTTTCTATAATCACACGTTCTCTTGCATGTATTCTGTTAAAATACTTTTGAATGTTTGTTATGGGATCTTTGAAAGGTGTAAGCATCCAAGGAGTTACACCATATCCAGAATCACCCAAAAGACAAACTCTTTTTTGATTATTATACATAATAGGGTAAATAGGACTATTGTAGAATCATGAACAGACCCAGGCCAGGAAGCATCAACACTGGTAAACATTTCTCTGCTATTACATGTTGCTTGTAGATTTATTGTAGAAACTCCTTTTCTGTTAATATATTCATCGCCATGTACATATGGTTTTATAATTTTCACGTGAGTGCAGTCAATGGCGCCAATGACATGAGGTATTGTATTATGTGCTGCCCATTCATCTTTAGGTCTGTTGAACATAGCTCCCGTAGCAGGGAATTTAACCCACTGATTTTTCTTGCTACAGATTTCACGTGATACCTTATCAATAATTTTTGAAACGGTTGTTTGATGAATCCCAACATCAAGTCCAACGCCTAGCTGAAATCCAGGGTCTCCTGAAATAAAGATATAAAAATTAGATTATTTATCCTATTTCATTTATTGAAACATACCTAAGCTTCTTAAAAATACTTACATTTGTTGGATGTGTGTAAGAGCACCGCCTCGAGTTTCATTTACTTCTGGGAGAAATATATTCGCTAGGTAAGATACGTTTTCTCTACTAAACCTAAAAGAATAAACAATTTTAAAAGTAATTAAAAACAATAATAATATTATTGTTAAATTACCGAAATATTTTATGATATAAAATATCATTATGATAGCGGCGTCTTGCATTATATATTTTTCTGCTGCGTATTCCTTCCATTTTCAAAGAAAACTAAACAAAACTAACCGTAGTATTCTCTCTGAAGTTGCACTTATACCAACTTCGCAAAAGTCAAGCATATACTAAATTCCTCTTCAAATTAGTAGCATCTACTACAAGAAGTAGGTACTTTCAGTAAATACTACTTGATATAGTAAGTTCCGGTAAAACAAAAAGTATCTACTTGAAAATGTAGCTTCTTCTCAGATTTGAAGTACATACTTTGTAGAAAATGCTAATACTTGTAGTATTAGAAGGTACTTCATTTTTATTCATACCACCCAATGTCTCTGATGTGATGTAAGATCTTCTTCAGAGCTGGCATCACTGGAGATGGTGAGTAATAATTGTGTGCTAATATGTGTTGATGATAATTCTATCGGATTATTCTCTCAAATAAATTTAGTTGAAATTCACAGCTAGAAATTAGTTGCGCATCCACTTTTTCTCATCCATTCTGGAAATTAAATATGCACTGTCGAATTACAAGCCATATATATGCTAACAGTAATCACACGCAAAGCAGGCGCGGCGATGATTTTCCGTAATTCCCTTCAAGGTGCTTGAAAACAAAAAAAAAAAAAACGTAATAAATCGTAATTTATGACTTTGAACACAACCTGCCTTCAGAAAGGACATGTAAATAACCCGTCGGGCATAGCTAATGGATATACTTCAGTAAATATTACTGATTTTATACACATGCAGACCAATACACATAATCATCCAGATGCGATCTTGCTATTCAACCAACTGTCTTCTCAGAGATGAAAACTACAGACTCCTCGGCTTCACAAAACATATGCAACCAACAATGCGTGCAGTTGAGCAACTTCTCCATACAGGGACGCACATAACGATCCTAGTGAGCAAATGTGGAACGACTGTTTGCACCCTAAAAACTACCTAGTCTGCAAGATAACATTTTATAGTTTTTTTTTTGACATATACGTTTTTTTACATAATACCCGTGCTGATCATTACGCTTTCTTGGCGATAGGTGTCCATGTTTTGACATTTCAGATGTTTCAGCTGGTTTTTAAAGCGGCACGCCATATTCAGCCAACTGCTTTAGTATTTTTGCTGGTATAGTCATTCACCATAAAGTAGGGCGCACGCGCATGCATGTTTCGAGTTGTCAAGTTTGCAAGCTGTACAGGATAAGGTATTTTCATCGAGGGTCGTATGAGTGGAAAATGTTTAGATTTGAAGAACAACATGAAAATCCAGGCTATGCTTGGTCCCTGGGATGTATCGCCGAATCAATTATCTAATAGCACAGATCAGGTGAGCTTGATGTTTCGATATCATATATCAAAACTCTGTCAAAGGTCACAGCCATCTAACGCTACCCCTGAGACCATATCGCTTTTGCACAAACAGTCCTCATAGCAGATTTTTCTGGGATAAACACAAGCAATGCTCATTCTCTTAGCATAGAGATATTTCGTCGAATGAAAAGGATAACACCAGTAAAGTAGTAAATAATCTGAAGCTCCACTAAACACTACTAATAACTTTTATATTTAAGGGAATTCTGTCTTAATGCTTCAGACTAAACCCAAATTTTATCCGTCTAGAGTACTCCATCGCCAGAAATAGCCGTTGAATATATGGGCAAAACTTTTTTGATTATCATCGATGCCTCTCCCGCGATGTAAAAAGTTATAATTTTTCATCGTACCAGTGCTTAAATGGTTACGTTTAACTTCGCTTTTGT